ATTCCACTTATCCCATACTGGGTAGTGATGAATGGGAAGATGTGTGAAGTTCTGCACCCCCCCCCCCACTTCCCACCAATCAGACAGGACCTTTCACCCCTTCCTGCCCAATGGCCCTCCAGATGGTTTATCGTCAACCAATGGGTGGTCCCTTCTGTTGAGGAAGTTGGGGAGCTAAAAGACTTCAGGAGTCTTTGCTCTTTTCACCCAAATGCTTTTGTTTGAATATTCTGGGAAAGTTTGGTTTTAGTCAACAGGTTGACATTCGGCCCGGTAGCAGCTGAGAAAAAATGTGTCTTCCATGCGTTTATTTATCAAGCCTTCAAACCCAGTGTGGTGGAGCTAGATAACTGAATGCCAAGAATCACCTCCGGTCATCAACCGTCATTAACCATCCAAATACACAGTGACTTGCAGACCGAGAACTGACACGTTGTAGCAGACTCCCAAACCGGAAGTGTATTTTGGTCGAGTGCTTGTTACTAAGAAACCATTTTCTCAGTTTCACAACAATTGGGGCCAGCAACGTCTACTTCCGGTTCGAGAAGCGTGCAACGCTCCATGTCTTACATTCGCCCCTTTTTCTTCTGTAAACGCCATCCAAATCACCTTATGTGTGATTTATCACGCAGAGGTGCACGATTTCATCCTGCCCGGCACTCCCGCCTCAGCAAGCCGTTGCGTAAGATGCGTAACATTTGGCGAGATACTGACGTGTCTTGATTAGCCTGTCAGAAGTGTTAAGTTCAAGTTACTGGCAAATCAAGAGCTCCGTTCTTATCGCTGCAGATTTCCAGCACATCCCCAGCAGGCTGTAGCTTCAGCCAGTATGCCAGGTAGTTGCATGATATGTGAACATTGCCTGAATTAAGTCAGCTGCATGTGGTTGAAAGTATATTTAGTGTTGTTTTTTATACGTTTTTCTACAGTTTCAGTATGACCACATCTCAGGCTAACTAGGCATTGGGGTGTGAAGCCACCGTCCCAAGCTGTGCACTCCTCAAGCTCCTAGCTGTCTCCTAGCAACACTGGCAGTACCAGCGGCTCAGACACTTCTGGTCAATCAGATCACGCGTTCGAAGATTTATTGTCTCACGGAGACAAGCCAACGTTCAAAACTCATTTTACCTCCAGCGCCCATTACTTACCACTTAACTTCTTTAGATAGGTCTGTCACCGAAATCTTTTTAGGACGCAAATAATGGCCCTGCGCGCAGAAGGCAGCTTGTAGCGTCGGCGTACTTGCCAAGCCGCATCAGCCAGGGTGGAAAAGGAGGAACTAGTCTTTAGGTGTAGAGCTTCGCCCGAAATATGCAGAGTTCGGTCTCGTTTGCAGTCTCTGACTGACTCAAAACATGACAGTTCTGCAGTCACAGAATGGGATGTCTCGTGGGCCGGAACTCCAAATACTGGTTCAGTATTTGGACTCTTAATAAGCTCTTCCTGGTCTTTAGCTCTTGTTTCTCATCGATTTACCTCGACTGTGCCCGGTATAAATAGGCCTCTGAGTTGTTTACCTTCGACCATTTGCCTCGAGGGCGCTATGCGAGCCGAGGATGGCGTGGGTTAGGGGCCAGGGGTCGATGATGTCTGCCCATCTCTGCTGACATTTGTAGGAGTGCAGATCTCAGAAACCAGAGTGACGGTGATTTTCTTATCTGCTCTCGGTGTAAGTTCCCTGGTACAGTATCGCTACACTTCCTCCCCCCCCCCCAACCCCGGCCCAGCTGCGGTAGTGTGGCCTTTTGCACGCCCCCCCGCCCATCATGAATAACCTGTCATGGCGAGACGTGCGCCACTCCTGCGACCCTAAGTCATTAGTCTTCTAAATCACCGCAGAGGCACAGTTCCGGATCCGTGGCCAGGTTGGGGTGGGGAGCGGGGGATGTGACAGACTCTCCGAAGCTACCGGGTCCCTCCCTAGGGAGGCGGAGTGCGGCGCCACGGTCCAGCGGCAGTCACACCGTCTGATTGGAACCGCCAGGTTGTCAAATCCTGTTTATATCCTCCCCTGTTGGGCGACGCAGAAACGCGCGGTTCTCATTTCAGACGTAGCCGTCTGGGTCTCGCCTCGGGCCTAGAAAACTGATCATGTGGGATTAAAGATATGGCCGCCATTTGCCCAGGTGTTCCGGGTTCGAGGCAGGCATGCGAATCCCTGTGGAATGAAAACGGCGGCTTATTTGTGAACTGGGACAACGCATCAGAACAACAGATTGCGGCTGATCTTATTAACGCCTTTTCCGGACGAGTCGAGCTAATTTATTCTTGGCTATTTTTCTCTCGGGGTTGATGCCTCCACCCCCTCCCCGCCCACAGACCATGCATGGAAAGGAGGCCCTAACATTCCTGAGCTTGTTTCACGGAAATTATTTGTTTTTGAATGCAGCCCTCCTCAAAGTGCTTTTCAGAACACTGGTGGTTTTCCGGAACTTCCCAGAAGGTTCAGTATGCAGCCTATGGGATGGCTCCTGGTCATTAGAAGTGGTGTCAGCTTCTGGATGAGTGAGCATTTACACATGTCTGCAGGATCATTCTTTCTTCCAGAATTTGATGTTGCCAGCCTTCCCAGAATTCCCTGCAAATATCCTGCAACTTGATGCACATATTCTGGGTGCCTTAATATACTCTCAGGTTTGTTCTGGTTATCACATTGGCCCACCCACTCCCCCCCCCAGACTCAGGGAGGACGTCTTTGTTAACTTGCTGTTTACTCACGTGAAACTAGCAGCAGTCGGTAAGACAATTTCCATGCCGATTTAAAGTCTTTAAAGTAGTAAGTCATTTTCACAGTTTGGTCGGCCACAGTCCGGGGGGGGGTGTTCCCTGTGGGTCTTAATGGGAGCGGCCCCCCTGTTTGGGAGTTGCAGTGTTGTGTAACAGGAGCAGGATACACAGACCCAGCGAGGATCTTCAGATGATCGTGGTATTTGACTCGGGCCACCATTGGTCACCAAGTGAGCAGATTCAAGTTTTATTGTCACATGTTCAGAAAAACACTGTGTAACTCGTATGTCAATGTTACATGGGTGGGGACAGGCGGACAATAGGTCAGAAAGGAGTGAAAATACAGGACAATGTAGAATAAGAAAGTACACAATAATGAGCAGTAAATAGGGGGTGCAACTGGGGGGAGAAGAATATAATGATGTGCAAATAGTGGCAAAAGTAGTCAAGTAAGACCCCAGGGTTCCATGACAGCTAAGGATTTAGGTAAAGAAGCAGGATGAAGTCGCTCCGGAGACAGAGAGTGAAGCGACAGTGCCGGCTGATTAAAGAGCAGAGATATTTCGATAGGCAGCTGAGGATGAAGGGCTGACTCTGTCTATTAGTCTTCCAGCAAAAGCGTTTATCAGAAAACAGCACCGTGATGAATTTTATGAATCGCCGGGCCGGGGTTATTATTTACCGTCTGCGTGTGGGCGGTTTCCAGACGTCCACTTCCTCTGCACCATTATTCCGGCGAGTCTCCCTGCTGTTGTGCCCTCAAAAATCGTATCACAGAAATAACGGCGGTTTAGCCAATCGATCGGCCCGTTATCTCCCCGCTGACGCCCCAGCAGGTACGTCCTGCCCGCCGGCGTTCGCACCTGGCTGAATTTTACCTGATAATTACGCCATTCCTCTGCATTCTTAGCAAATGATTCATCGCTTCTGAGCAGAAATTAAGAGCAGTAAATAAACTAAGACGCCACGCTCACAAAAGCTTTTCCTTTTAATGTTAATCTGTTGATTATGCCTGGCAGCTCTCATTACAACTCAAATAGGAATCGTCTAAAAATATTTTCTTATGGAGCAAGTGCTCCTATCCGGGAGGCTTCATCTCTTACATTTCACTGCATCTGCATATTTTCCCCCCATTTTTTTCTGTTCCAGTGTTCTAGCATTTGTATTCATATTTTTCATTTTAAATCCAAATGCACTAAATGTGTCCACTGTTCACTGTGCTATTCAGCTTCATTTATTAATTCTACTTTTTATCCACGTCCTATTTCCTTTTTTTAGCACGCATTCCTCCCTCCTTCTCTTTCGGCTTAAGTCACCGCCGACTAAATGGGGGCACTGCTGGGCCTCATGCCTCTGATGGGCTTTCGCTGGGCGTTGCCCCCCCCCCTGTCCTGGCACAGGTATCCGGGGCACCAGGCACTGGTGCTCGTTAGTTTGGCCTTGCTGCCTTTGATCCACAGCTGGAGACGGACACACAGCTGTTGCTGCGGTTACAGGCTTAGTAGGGGGCCCGGGGAGGAGGGGGGGGGGGGCTGTGGCCCTGTTCCTGCTCTCCCCTAGTATAGGGTCCGCTGATGCACTAGCTCACTAATGCTCCTTTTAAGCAGTTTCGGCTAGGCGCTGTGCCCGTCGGGGTTTAAGCTTCTAAATCCTGTAGAGGGGATATAAGCACTGAAAGGTCCTTTAAGGTTCCGTTTTTCTGAATATTAAAAGGCTTGAGGTTTAACTGTGCTCTCACCCACCTGTGCAGGAAGCGGCCCATGTGAGGCCCAGCCTCTTCCTGTGTGGCTCCCATGTGTGTCTGTGTTGTAACTGACAATACCATGTGACCGCTGTTCCCATCCGGATGACAGATTCAGTTCCCCTGCTGTCACACCTGTGTATTTGTGTGCAGATCTGCCCCCATGTGCCGTCGAGCAGTATTGGTGTCTTTACCTCTGTTCTGACTCTTTCTGTGTGTGTTTGATTGTCTAGATTTCGTAACAGACTGTCTCACCTGTGGATTCAGCTTTGTGATTTCCCTGTGTGTCTGTGCTGGTAGCCTCTGTTTTACCTGTGTGATTTACCCATGTGTCTGTACTGATAGCCTGTGGTTTAACTATGAGATTTACCCATGTGCCTGTTGCGGTAGCCTGTATTTTACCTGGGTGATTTACCTGTGTGTCCGGGTGGGTAGCCTGTAATTTATCTGTGTATCTGTGCTGGTAGCCTGTCTGATTTCCCTGTGTGATTTACCTGTGTGCTCTGTTCTGCCCGCCCCCGCCCCGTTACAGGGCTCCCCAGCCCCTCGGTGCTCTGCCTGTCCTCAGTCAGGGACCTGCCTGGCCAGATGAGGGAGCTCTACCTGCAGGGTTTCGTCCTGGCGGCCGTGCACCCGTTCGTTCACCCCTGCGGCCCGGAGGGGACACAGAGGCAGCTCCACCGCGCGGTGCTCATCCGGCTCTCTGACAGGTGAGCCCGGCGCCCATGGCACGCCGCCCCCCCGAGATCCCGCGGCTCACCGGCATCGGCGGAATAATAAACACGGCCATTTTAGCCACGTCAAGGGGACACAGAAAAATGAGGTTTGAAGTTAAAATAAAGTAACAATGTCATTCTGCCTTTCAGTTTATACTGCGGTCAGTGTGGGTTTTAGGATTAAAATCCTCTGGAGGTCTGTCAAACCGCGCCTCCTGGTTTTGTGTTTCAAGGGCTTAACTGAGATTTCCAGCACTCAAATCGTCCCTTTTGATGGAATATGTGAGTAATATGAAGTTCTCACATGCTAGTCTTGTTTCCATTTCAGTGAGAAACGTGTGCACAGAAGGGTGCCTTCGCCCTTAATTATCGCTGCATTTCTTGTTGGGAAGGTCAGCGGTTGAGAAGCTAAACCCTCCCTCACGCCTTTGATAAGTCCTCTGAGGACCGGCCCTTGCTGTGCGGTAGTCAGTCCACGGTGCATGCTGGGGTTTTGATGTTTCCGGAAGGACAAATCGCCTCCTTGTTGGATCTGAGTGACATTGGGGTCTCGGTGGAGAGTGGCTGCCTGATCAGAGCTATTCTAGCGTCGGGCTGCGTACGTTTCCTCTTTGACTCCTTCGTGTCTGTGCCGTTCCTCCCTCTCGCTGGCCTGTGCAGTTCCTCCCGAAGCGGGATTCCCCAAACCTTGAAAATCCATCACTGTTCTGTGTACACGCCAGGTTTCATTCTGACTAAGCGCTTATGTACTCAACTGAACTAATTCCCTGGCCAGAATTGTACAGTTATCCCTGTCAATTCTGATTTCATTTAAGGTAGAGTAAGGAGACCTCCCAAAACTGCGTCACTGGACCAGGATTACAGATACGTCACTTACTGTGCTTCATGTTAGAATCTGCTTCATCATCTTTCTATACTCCTAGAAGGTGGTTCTTCCTGTTAGAAGGTGGTTCTTCCTATTAGGTGGTTGCCCCCCCCCCCCTTTTTCCATAACGTCCCTGTCCAATGAATATGTCCACTAGCAGTGATAGTATTTCCTATAATTGGAATATGCTCATTCTGCTGTCTACTGATAACCTTTGACGAAGCCTTAGTCTTTGACATCAAATTGACTGATGAAAAGATGTTTTATGAAGTCATCTATTTAGCTAGTATTTATAATTGTATTAACATTTCTATTCATAATGGTCATTTGTATGGATTACTTTATATTGCGAATTTTAATTTAATGTTGATAGCTGGATAGCTTGCTGACTAACATCATTGTTAATTGCGAATATAAAGTGAGAAGAGTTGATGAAATAGATGAAGTGAGATCTTGTTCACATTGACATATTTGTCCTGCTGACGACAAACCATGTAACTGTGTTTAAAACGTTAAACCGTTCACTGATGGCCGTGTAAGGATGACATTTTTTTAGGTTTATTTAGTGAAGCACTATCTTAGAAAATGTGTTTTTTCACGCTCTTGAAATAATGGAATTTTGGAGACATATTTTCTATGGACAACGACGATACTATGGTTGCGTGGTGCTTGCTGGTAGATGCTGAACAAACACAATGACACAATGAGGGAGATTAATTCCATCCTGTGGATGCCCCCCCACATGCCAGGTGACCCATAATTCAATGTGGTCCAGCAGTCAAATGTGGCCTTTTGGAATACGGTCGCTCTCTGTGTGGATCCGTCATTCGATTTCAATAATGCCGCATGACTGAAGGATAAGTGTGTGTGTCTGTGTGTCTGTGTGTGTGTGTGTGTGTGTGTGTGTCTGTGTGTGTGTGCGTATGTGTCTGTGTGTGTGTGTGTCTGTGTGCGTATGTGTGTGTGTGTGTATGTCTGTGTGCGTTTGTATGTCTATGTGTGTGTGTGCGTGTCTGTGTGTGTGCGTGTGTATGTCTATGTGTGTGCGTGTCTGTGTGTGTGTGTAATGAGATTGAGAAGGTGGAGTAATGGCCCATTTTGACAGTGTGGAGACCGGGGTAGGGGGGTGAAGGCGACCGGGGGGGCAAACGCTTGATGAAATCGGCCGATAGAGGCGAAAAGATGCTCTCCTTTTGATCCTTCCCCCCCTCCCCAACCCACCCATTTCATCTCTGCGCTTGTCACCGTGGAGACAACGGCTTGCATCAGCACCTGCCCCAGGGGGATGGAGAGCACAAAAGCCAACAGTGAGCATCGCTGGCTGAGAAGGAGAGACACATGCGGAATAACAACCTGAAGTTGAGCGGCTCGTTGGTGATTTCCTGCCTACGGAGAGCAAAAAAAAGAAAGACGCCTTAGCATATAGCACGCGGCTAAACGGGGACACGTACCACAGCAAATCTGCCTCGTTTCCAGGATTCGCTCGACGTCGCATGTGACCAGGCCTCCATTCATCCTTATTATGCAAATGTGTCTCCGCCGACGTTGGATCGGCGTTCCGTAAGAACTCCGGATCCTTCTATTATTCCCAGAAAATCCCGTTTCACATCTT